GAAACTGTACTTCCGATTTGATTTGAAACTGTCTCATTGCTATATGTTTATCAATAAAACTGTAGAAAAAAATAAAATAAAAAAATAAAATAAATTTAACTATTCTTATGGGGAGCTGTGGGTCAGTATCTTCTATAAGACTCAATCAATCACTGTTCTACTGACATTTTCTTTCCTCACAAAACCACAAGTCGTATGATAGAGTTCTCTGCTCCTCATTTACTATGTATCTATGTTTGACACCACATATAATGATAGCTTCTAAATAGAGAAAAGATATACACATTCAACTAAGGAAGAATTGCATTGCAAGCCATAGTCTCACAGATGATTAATCTCTTATTCTGGGCCAACCTTGAATCCCCAGGACTCCTGGAGTACCCTAAAGTATATTTGAAACGGTATCTGAATATCTAAAGGAAGATATTCCTCCAAGCAGAAGTGATTAAATATCAGAAGACAATCTGTAGGAATGTAAGAAATTTGATCCATAGTTAGAAAAACATCAGCAAAACCTTGATTGTCTTAGGGGATATATGGCAATAGCCACTTAGCATTCAATTCAATCCAAGTGTTCAATTATGTTAAAGAACATCACCAAATGCTATTTATGGCAAGGTCAGAGAAAAGAAATGAACCATAGAATATGGTGGTGTGTGGGTTTTGCCCAGGTTTCAAGAGTGAGTGCAAGAAGCTAGGAACACAAACAAACAAAAAGAATATTCTCTTCCCACATTCAAAAGTACAAAAAATGGAATAAGAAAAACTTACAGACAGACCTGTTTTGTATTTGTGGGTGGCAGGATAGGATAGCACAATAGAGAATACTGATGCATCCATCTATAGAATCCCTAGATATTATACATCCTAAAGTCCAGAAGAAAACAAATGAAGAACATACTTACGGCATGAAATAGAATTTTCTGAGAGGTACTATTCCAACAGTACCAGTATAGTAGATACAGAAATAAAGAGACAAAAAACACCCAATCACCATATCTCCATCCTTGCACACACTGGTGCTCCTGTGGTGAAGGCAGGCTTCATTATCAATAGTGCTCACTATGATAGGAAGCTGCAGAAGAAGGAAGAGAGCAATCAAAGGCAACATCTTAGATGCATATGCCAAACTTTAGGCTGAGTGAAGAGGAAACTATCTGAGCCATTTAAGTAAATATGTTTTCTGTTGTGTGTTTCAGAGTGACACTGATTCTTATTGCTTCTTCTCTGCTGCTCTGGCTCTCATCTCTGGAGAAGTTTACCAACATTTTTGCCCTGGGCTCTACGTCTGAGGTCTGGAGTCCAGGAGAAAAGCAGAAGATAGAAATTATGATTGAGTATCATTTTCTCCACCTGAACGCACTACTATTTAATCCAGTTCTGATAACAACATCCCAGGGGCCGCCTCCTCCTGGGCAGATTTGATCCATGTCTTTGTCAATAAGCCATTGGCATAGATGCCATGAGAGATGTTACTAATGAATTGTGCTAGAGGGTTTGATATTAAGGATATCTTCAAATACTCTGAAAAGCCTCAAGGTCAGACAAAAATATTGAGCATTTTTCCTTCCACAGTGGAAAATTAATACCTATCACCTGGCAGGTCCGTAATCTAAAGTTTCAGCCACAGAACTTTACCTGCATATCTGTTCTCTGTGTACCAGTCACAGGCAGTGACACTCATCGTCACCCATGCTCTCCATTGCTTGGTGCACAAATAATTGCAACACACCCACGTAGCCAAAATTACTGATTAAACAGTGCAGAAACACATTATACTTTTCTTTTTGACACAGGCTCTTTATATGCATCTCAGGTGGCCTTGAGTTCACTTTGAAGTGCAGGTTCATCTTTAACTTTTCAGGCTTCCAATGGCTATGATTAGATATATGCATTACTATATCTTTACAATGCATTTTTCCATAATTTTATTGATAAACAAATAGCAATGAGACAGTTTCAAAACAAGTTAGTAATAGAACAGTTACAATAATTAATACATTGCATATTATTGTCTCCGTAGTACTTATTCATAGTACAAGATGCAGACATGATATCCTGTCCAAACACTATTAGTAGAAATCTTTCTTCTCAGGAATTATAATGCCTCCTGACTTGTCTTTGTTGCCCAGGATTGCCTTTGATATTCTAGGTCTTTTCTGGTTCCAAATAAATTTTAGGGATGATTTCTCAAGGTCTGTGATGTATATTGATGGTAGTTTGATAGGGATTGCATTAAATCTGTACAAAAATTTTGTGAGTATGGCCATCTTCACAATATTTGTTCATCCTATCCAGGAGAAGAGAATATCTTTCCCTTTTCTAAAATCCTCTATGATCTCTTTCTTCAGAGTACTGTAAATTTTCTTGAATAAATCGTTGACTTCTTTAGGTAGATTAATTCCAAGGTATTTCATTTTCGGTGGTACAAATGTTACATTTCTTGTTATATAGGTCTTGCTTTATCTTGGTCTTAACCATCCAGCAGAAAAGTATAAAAGCAAAGTATAAATAAAGCCATATTAGTATGCTAAGCTATAAAAGACTCAAGTCAACAACTTCTGACGGTGCCAGTCCTACGGATAACCCACTACTCTTATGGACTACTAGACTATATTGGATTATTTTGCTGAATTCACACACCTACAATATTTAAACAGCAATGGAATACCCATCCCTGACAAAACTAAACAAAAAAGAGGATACAAATGTAGAATCATTTTCTATCTGTATATACCAAATAGGATGGATATACAGCTACTTTCTCTTAATTAAATATGAAGAAAGATTTGTACTTATAGTGTTTCGATAGGATATCATGTCCTCGTCTTGTACTATGAACAACCATTATGAAGACAACCTTATAGAATGTATTAATTATTGAAACTCTCCTACTAATTGATTTTGAAACTGTCTCATTGCTATTTGAGACAGCAAATAAAAAACAAATCCTTTTTTTAATTGTTTGAGTTTTCTCCTCAAACTTCTAGAACAAAAAGAACAAGTGAAGCCCGAAGCACATAAAAGAGGGAACTATAAAGATGATATCAGAAATCAATGTAATTTAGACTAGGAAATCAGTACAAATAATTACTGAATCAAAAATTAAATCTTTGAAAGAACAAAAATAATCAAAGAACCATTAGCCAACCTTACCCTAAAAAGAAAAAAAAAAAACTCAGATTCATGCATTTATGGAGATGATTATGTGAGTTTGTCTTTGACTCTGCTGATGGGGTGTATTACATTTATTTATTTACATATTTTGAGCCATCTCTGCATTCCTGGGATGAATCCCACTTGATTGTGATGTATAGTTTTTCTTGATGATTTGCTGCATTCCACTTTCTTGAAAATTTTATAACCTATGTTCAATCATTTAACTCAGTTTTGCCCCAAATTTTATAATCAAGGAGATTATGGGGACACAGAGGAATGTGATCAATGATGTAGTGTGTGCCTAAGGAGAGTCCCTTGGAGAGAAAAAATTCTCTCAGGCTTTCACAGAGGGCAAATTGGTCAAGCAATGGCCATGACTCATCCACATGGCTGACACTGACAAAGGATCTACAAAATGTGGTACAGGGTTTTGGGATAAGTCCTGAGGGGGCTTGACTGACCTGGTCAAATACAAAAGTTATGTTTCTTGTTGTATAGGTATTGCTTGATCTTTAACTATCCAGCAGAAAAGTGTAGAAATGAAGTATGAAAAGTGAAATCACGTTAATATGCTGAGCTGTGGAAGGCTCAAGTCAACAGATTCGAACATTGCCAGTCCTGTGGATAACCCACTACTGTTGTGGACTACTGAACTATATTGGAATATTTTGCTGAATTCATGCACCTACAATATTTAGATGGCAATGGAATACCCATCTCTGACAAAAATAAACAGAAAAAGGAGATATAAATGAAGGACAATTTTGCATCTCTATATACAAAATTGGATAGACATATAACTATGTTTCCTAATTCAATAAGAAGAAAGATCTGTACTAATAGTGTTTGGGCAGGATATCATGTCTGCATCTTGTGCTACGAATGACTACTACAAAGACAACAATATGCAATGTATTAATTTCTGTAACTCTCCTACCAACCTGTTTTGAAGCTGTCTCATTGCAATTTTTTTCAATAAAATTAATAATATAAAAAAATAAAATGAAATCTATGTTCATAGGTAGTTTGGCCTTTAGTTCTGTTTTTGGGTTGGGTTTTTAATTTTGTTTTAGTATTAGGTTAAACTTGTGATGATGAGAATTTTATAATCTATGTTCAATCATTTAACTCAGTTTTGATGTAGAAAAATCAACATCAGTTTTGCCCCAAATTTTCTAATCAAGGAGATTATGGGGACACAGAGGAATGTGATCAATGATGTAGTGTGTGCCTAAGGAGAGTCCCTTGGAGAGAAAAAAATTCTCTCAGGCTTTCACAGAGAGCAAATTGGTCAAGCAATGTCCATGACTCATCCACATGGCTGACACTGACAAAGGATCTACAAAGTGTGGTACAGGGTTTTGGGATAAGTCCTGAGGGGGCTTGACTGACCTGGTCAAATACAAAAGTTATGTTTTTTGTTGTATAGATATTGCTTGATCTTTAACTATCCAGCAGAAAAGTGTAGAAATGAAGTATGAAAAGTGAATTCCCCATGTATGACTTAGAATAAATAGTCTTTCTTTGAATTTTCTTAAGGATTTTGAAGAGTCTTGGCAGTAAATAATCTCTAATTTTTCTCGTGTAATTCACAAGTGAATCCATCAGTACCTAGACTTGTCTTTGTTGGTAATATTTAATTACTTATTCTGTTTCATTATCTCACATAGAATTATAAAAATAATAGATTCCCTCCAGCCTTTAACATATCAGCTATTATTTACATGTCATAGTATACAAGGCAACATGGGTAACTGGATGCTATGTAAAATTTAAGTCTACCTGAAGACTATTTTTTTTACTGAGTATTATTTAGATTTTGATGAATGCAAAATGAAATGTATTAAATATTATACTTTCACAGTGACCTTTCTATTGTAAAAAAATTAACTTTGTTAAAGAATATGAATGAGAATGTTGCTTTGTGTTCCAGTCCTTTAAAATTTTGTTTAATGGGAAACATAGAAGTTATTTGCAACTTTCATCCTCTGTTTTACAGTGAAGGAAATAAGGAAATTCACAAACTAATGCCAGCACAAAAGCCTAGATACTGAGAATACGAGTGTTTTAGGAGCAAAATCGGATTATGATAATGTATTCAACCATGGAATTAAGATATTTCACAAAACAAAGATGTTCGAAAATAGGCTTAATTACATAACTCAAAAATGTATTTTATGGGACTGGGGAGATAGCTCAGCAGTCTAAGTACCTGCCTGGCAATCACAGTGACATGGGTTTGATCCACAGAACTACATTTCATTCTGGCTTTGGATGAGGAGAAGGTCACCAAAACTGGGCATGGTGGTGCATGCCTGTAATCCCAGTGCTGGGGAAGCTGAGACAAGAGAATCACTAAGGGTCTGAGCTCCATGGTAAGACAAGACCCTGTACGAAAGAAAGAAGAAAGAAAGAGAAAGAAAGAAAGAGAGAGAGAGAGAGAGAGAGAGAGAGAGAGAGAGAGAGAGAGAGAGAAAGAAAGAAAGAAAGAAAGAAAGAAAGAAAGAA